TATCAAATGTAAAGTTACAGAAGACTAACTTGGTACAAGAATAAAATTAATCTTATACTCTTATACTATTATATAAAACAGAAGAGTTTGTTTTTTGTTTGTTTGTTTGAACGCGCTAATCTCCGTAACTACAAGTCTGATTTGAATAATTCTTTTTGTCTTGGATAGCGCATTTATCTAGGATGGCTATAGGTCAAAACATCGAGCTACGACCAATAGGAGCTGAGCAGAGCGTGTGAAACCGCGCAGAAGTAGCTAGTAGGATATAATATTGGAAGGTCAGTAAGGAAGGCCTATTTTAGATACTGGTATACACTATTGGATATCTTTAATTATTTTATATTTAAACTATAAAATAAATTGTTTCCTGTGGTTCTTCCGAACCGAAAAGACTACCAAACCAGTACTACTTTTTAAAACGTCAACAAAGCATTTGTAGACCCTTTGGTATAACGGGTGTTCATAGATACTGCTGATCACATACCACGAGAAGATCCACCAGTTCAATATAAAAAAAATCATCCAGATACATCGAGAATTCATAATTAACCTTCTGCAGTATTCCCTCTACTTACAATGGCGGCGAATAGTACAACAGTATCGCATGAATACGATGCGACGGCCATAGTACGAATGCCTAACATGGCAATGATAGCACCAAGGTATCCAATTCAATGAATGAAATATTAATGTGATTATTACTTAACAACTAGCTATTGTAATAGAGTGAACAGCTGTTACAAGGATATTTATATAAATGGTTTAAATTTGTTTTAAGAATCTTTTTAAACCGATTATTTATTAATCATACCCATGTTATTACTGCAATCTTAGGACAAATTATTGTATAAAAGTACAAACAGATTACAACAACATCCTTTATATTTACGGTGACCAAACTGCAATAGCCAAGCCACCTCCCAGAGTTCGCGTTCCGCGAGCGCCTCAAAGAGCCAGACCACCAGAGATGGGGCCCAGTAGGGCTGATGCCCGATACGGAGCCGCGGAAGGTAAACAGGGTGATTTTTAGTCAGTAAGAGTCTGACACTCCCTCTCGCCAACCCAAGGCGGGAGAAGTCATTGGATGATTTTCCCCCTCAAAAAAAAGGATAAAGATTTTAGTGAATCCATCTTTAAAAGGGAGGTTTTTGTTACGACTTTTTTCGACTGCAGATAATAATTGCATCTGTGATGACATGTATAACATGACAGTTATAAAGCTTTGTCATAGACGACACAAAGTGCTTTTCAGTGCACTGCCTATATCTCCACAGTGTAAATAAATTAGCACCAAAACAAGATAACACTGTCCTTACATAACAAACCATAACATGTACTACACTAACAATATTATTAACCTCATCGATCAATATTTATTTATTTATTTATTTATTTATTTATTTATTTATAGGATCACCGACATAAATACAGCAATATTGCACAATGAAAATATTTTTGACTTATAAAATACCTTAAGACTATCTGTATTCACAATTATAGGTAACCACAGCATGCATATAGCTTTTTAACTTATATTATTATAAAAGAGATAATAAAAATTAATAAAAATTTAGTACAAAATAAAATTAAAATTAAAAATAAAAATTAAAAACATTTTGTCGAAAAAAAAAAAAAAAAATTAAAATTTGGCAAAGGAAAATAAAAAGAAAACATAAAACCAGTAGGAAATGTCAACCACAAGCTAAGGTACGTCACTCTCTCTGATCATTCTCAAGAACTTAGGGAGGCGCTGAAGGTGAATGTCAATCCCTGGCAATGTACTTGTCAGGTCATTGTACAGACGAGCCAAACGAACAACCGGCGAATTGCGACCCATTCTTGTTCTACAGAATTTGATTTTAAACAGTTTGCATGGGTATCTCGGTATTCTCGAAGGCACATTATACGTGAATTGGCCAACCAGCATAGGACTGTCAATCTTATTGTTTATTACTTTATGTAAGAAGGACATGTCGAGACACAAACGGCGCCTGGTAAGCGTTTCCAGTTGGAAATGCTTTAGTTTTTCCGCATATGTTTTAACTGTTCCTGGTGTCTGAAATCGGCCGGACAGACTGCGAATCAATTTCTTTTGTACTCGTTCAATTCTGCTTTTATGTATGTTATAATCTGGGTTCCAAACCGTGCTGCAGTACTCCAGTTTGCTTCTTACATAACTATTATAGAGCAAAATGATTGAGGAGGACTTTTTAAAGTCTTTAGTATTACGAAGAATAAATCCTAATGACTTGTTTGCTTCTTTTATAATTCGATCAATATGATCTGAAAAGCGCAACTGGCTATCAACGGTAAATCCCAGGTCCTTTATCGTGTCTACTTCCTTTAGTCTAGTACCATTTATTGTGTAGCCAGTGTGAAATTTATTACGTTTCCTGGTCAATTTTATATGGTAACATTTTGAAGCATTTAGGAACATTCCATTATTAATACACCAATTTTGGAGGCAGCCAACGTCTTCCTGTAGAAGTTTTGAGTCTTCCATACATTTAATATCCTTGGTCAGTTTTAGATCGTCAGCGAAAAGGTACAGCCTCGAATACTTTATACTCTCCGGCAGGTCGTTGATAAAAATGTTAAAGAATAATGGTCCCAGAACAGAACCCTGCGGAACACCCGAGAGCGCCAAAAAGGGTTTCGACTTCTCGCCCCCTACCACCACCTCCATTGGACGTTTTGTAAGGTAGGATCGACACCAGTCTAAGATGTTGTCAGTTATACCGAACATGTATAGTTTGTCCAATAATAATTTATGATTCACCTTGTCAAACGCTTTTGAAAAGTCTGTGTAGACTGCATCTACCTGTGTCCCCCTGTCCACGGACTCCATTAAATCAGAGGCAAAGAGAACCAAATTCGTGCATGTAGATCTCCTTGTCATAAAGCCGTGCTGTTCATTAATTATACATTTCTGTGTGTGAGCATAAATGACAGCGTGTACCATAGACTCAAAAATCTTAGCGATTGTGGAAATTATAGCAATTGGCCGATAATTCGAAACATGGTCCCTTTTGCCATTTTTGTATACGGGCACCACCCTTGCCAACTTCCATGCATCAGGAAACTCGCCCGTCTCCAAAGACCTATTAAAAAGCATGCACAATGGCGGGGTTAGTCCATTTGCACACCTAGCCAGATAAAGAGGGTGGACGTTGTCAGGGCCCACTCCTTTCGTGATGTCTATCTTCTTCAGTTTCTTATTGACATCTTCAGGGCTGAAGTGAGGAGGGTTGAGCACATCTTGAATATTTGGGCTCAAGTGAACTGCAGGATCAATCGTATAATTATCAAGATCACTGCCGCCCGCCTCATAAACCGAAGAAAAGTGGGTGGCAAACATGTCTGGAATTCGATGTGTGTCCGAATTCACAATGTTATTCAGTGTCATAGTACTGGGATAGGATGAACAGTTTTTTCTTAAATTTTTAATATGAGTCCAGAAGAACTTTGGATTTTTCTTTAGATCGGATTCTATTGCGACTATGTACTTTTTGTAACATTCTTTTATCATTCGGCTGGTATCAGCCCTTAAATAATCAAATTCTAATTTGTCCAATGGATTTCCATATTTTTTAAATCTTTCATGATATTTAAACTTCATTTTAAGTAGTTTAATTAATTGCGGTGAATACCATACAGGATAAGATTTAGGACGGTTATTTGTCATAGGTATATGTTTACTAATGGTTTCGTGTATTATTTCGTAAAATCTTGATACCATTTCGTTTACATTGTCATAATGTTTTAGTTCTTTTCCCCAATCAACATATTTAAGATGTTCATTAATAGCGGAGTAGTCACCCTTGTGGAAATTTTTACGCTTTATTTTAACTGATTGATTTAGTTTTACTATTGATAGCTTTAATTGAAACTCTAGCGCGGGATGATGCTTATCAATATTTTTTATAGGATTCTGGCATTCTCTAATATGCATAACAGACTCTCTATTACATAAAATTAAGTCAAGGGTCTTATTATTTATGTTCGTAACTTTATTAAACTGGCCTAAGTTACTCAACATTAAAAAGTCAACGAGTCTACAGAACAGTTCACTGCTACCGTAACCGACAGGGGTCATGCCCAAAGTATCACTGTCACTATTTTGTTGCCAAGTTATGCCACCCATATTGAAATCCCCCGCAATCAACGTACAACCTTGGTCAGAACAGTTCTGTAATATAGTATTGGCTTTATCTGTAAATATCTTTACGTCACCGATTGTGACAGGTGGCGGAAAGTAGATGGCGCAGATGTTAAGTTTAGTCGCTTTTTTACCCGACGCCGTGGAGATTGTAACCCAGACATCCTCGCAATCGCCTTCGTATTCATTAACCCGTGCAGATACAAGTCGATCCGACACCGCAATCAAGACACCACCGCCCCTAGATTTAGTAGAAGCTGTTGTCTCTCGGTCACGTCTGTACACATTGTAGCCACTCTCGAAAAATTCACAATCAAAGCATCCTCCGTTAAGCCATGTCTCTGTAAATATATATACATCGTAATTGTTATTGCTAATCTGTTGACGTACTTCAGCCGAAACCGTTCTAAGTCCTCTTACATTCTGGTAGTATATATTCAAACAATCAGTTGTCATACAGTTTTTTCAACACCAATAGAACAATTAAACAATAAACACAATGTAAGTAGGTATAGTCAAATATCAAATAATCAATTAGTCTGATAGTTAAATAATCATATAATCAAACAAGCAAACAATCAACTAACGAGTATGAGGAGATATATATGTTATAAGAGATAAGCAATTAAATAAGCAATGAAACCAAGAAATTACCAAACAAAACAGCAATCAAATAACCAAATACTCGAACAATTAAGCAAAAACAATCAAGTAGTAAAATATTAAATAATAATCCAGTCAATCAACAAATCAACAGGCTACTTGGTAAGATTAGACAAATCTTGAATATTTTTAATATTTATGTATTCTGTCGATTCAGTTTTTCTTACATATATCTTACCTCCCCTCACCCAAACAAATTTGTAGTGTAGTTCCTTTGCCTTGGCGCGTGCTGCGGCGTGTAAAGCCTTCTGTGCTGGCGCCAAATGTTCAACAACGAAAACTGGCTTCTTATCACCGCCAATACCAAGCTGACTCGTATTTAGTTTGTCAGTTGGGTTTTTGTTTTTCTTGTTAAACTGCAACGCTGCAGCCAGAAAGCCGTCTCGTATTCTTTGCGTGTTAAATTTTACTATTATTGATCTAGGGCGTCGGCTCTCGTTGTTAATTTTGGCTATTCTCGTACACTGCTGTATGTCAATTTCCTCCAATTTGTAGCCACTTACTGCTGCAATCTGCCTGACTACCGAGTACAGATTTTCAGTTTTGAATTCGGGCACGTTTTGTATTTCTAAATTTGTGGCCCGCGAGTATTGTTCAGATCGAGCGAGTCTAGATCGGAGATCAGCTACTGATTCTCTGAGTGAAGTGTTTTCCGCTTCCAATGTATTAATCCTGTTAGAGTTTAAGGTGACTTCGTCTTTTAGGTTAGCTTGGTTTTGCTCAAATATCTTTAATGCATCCGATATTTGGTTAAAGCGATCCAAGACTTCCTGAGTTTTACGTTCGACCTCCTTTAATATACTAACCTTGAAATTATTGAACACGCTTTCCAGTTCTTCCTTAATGATTAGTCTAATATCCTCAGTTGTCACACTAGGTTCGTGTTGATGCAGGGGATGGCCGCCTCGTCTGTTGTTTACGTTAGTACTAGGTTCGTCCAATTGATAGCAGGTTGCCGATTGGCTACTGGGTCTTATTGGTGTATTAGTGTTATCAACCTTCGGCAATTTACTGTGACATCCAGGACAAATGTACTTCAGTTTAAAGTCTTCCGTTAAATCCTTGAGGGGTCGCTGTATATTTACGCAGTTTAGGTGATATCTGAATTTACAGGATTGACAGTGTAAAAATCCCGTCGATGACGTCTGACGTTCACAACATCCAAATTTTAGTTTTGCTTGAGACATAATAAAAAAAATTCCCAATGAAGCAAAATTATCAGTTATTGTCTGCAAACAAATTATTTAATCTGCCAAATTTGTGCACCTATTTTTAATGCTTCAGTTATTGTAGCAAGAAACGCTTGATATGGAACGCGCCCTTTTTTATGTTGGTAGCACTGACAGCGCACTTGAAATGTCAAAAACAGATGGTAGATGCAAAAAGTACAATAACACTATCTCATTTCATGATCTTGCGAACCGAGTCTCGAAAATAACACGCTAGTGTTTTCAGTGCGAACTTTTAGAGTTAGAATTCCATTCCACAAGTTTCAAATAGTCCACCGTGTTCACATCGGACATCAAAAACAGCAAAGAAAGTAATTAAACACTGTGCACTTGGTTCGTTATCTATGTTCATAACACGTATTTCTATGGTTTGCCAACAATATCACTGGTTTAGCTAATATTACTGAGCACTCTCGTACACTTTTAGACGGATAATATTGCGTGAAACTATTTAAATTGTTAATTTAATACGGAGTTAATATTTACACTTAATGAATGAATGAATGAATGAATATAAATACAATCTCAAAATTACCATTTAACAATTAGATTATGAGCTGCATACATTAACCTTAGCTTCTTACATTCATTACGTACATTAAATGTATGACTCAATGGAGGGAAGACAATTAAAAATGGATTTGAATACATTAGTGAACAATTGTGCCGTTTGAATAATTTACATTGGTTTTAGGAAGTGGTACAATTGTAACGATGTTTCTAAAGTGGCTATCTGTGCTATTGGATCTCGTTGGTAACAATGATTTGGGGGGTGGGGTAAGGTACTAAAAGTGGCGTTCTTGAGTCTTTTTCTATCAGTTAAAATAGGGAGAAAATATTATCATGAGATCAATCACCAGATGATACGAAGTATTGAATTTTATATCATAACATCACGCCTTTTGTCCCCGAAGGGGTAGGCAGAGGTGTACATAATGCCAATGTACAATGTAACACCCACTTTTCACTATTTATGTTATGAGTCCCATGTAATAGGGGGTGAGCCTATTGCCATATACCGGGCACAATTCCAGACTCCGTGCTACTACTGAGATTTTTTAAAAACCCAGTAATACTTTGCCCGACCTGAGACTCGAACCCGAGACCCCATGCCCGGCAGTCGCACCTGCGACCACTCCGCCAACGAGGCGAGCAGTGAATTTTATATCAAGACGTGTAAATATATTCAATGCTATATAGCATTAGACTTGCTTCTGATTTTATCACCCCTGGACTGTTTGAAGATGTGTTTTAATTGGATAACTAAAATCGCTAACTATACAAACAAAAGCATGTCTGTCATTTTTGTCATGTTGCAAACGAGGCATAACAATTGATGATGATTGAACGATTGATGAAAAAAAAACAATTTATCATTAAAATATTACCTATATAAAAAACAAAGTAGTAGTCCGCCTTATCCTATCACATAGACCATACTCTGAACGAAAGTGAAGGAAACATTAGCGATACACCAGTGCTGCGCGTTTCAATAATTCATGCGTTCGATGCGCCCACGCAGCGATGCGGGGCGTGACGTAACGCCTCATTATAATGGTATAACAGATTGTAGCGTGCAATTTTCTTTATGTTGGGTTATTGATAAAGCTTTACACATAATTCTAGAGAAATAATTTAACTGTGTTTGTGTTTATGCTGGTTCAATAAGTGTAGACGTATTTCCATCATCGATATTACCTAACAAATCTTCTTCATGACGACTTTTTTCAATAAAGTCGAATGGGTCTACTGTTTTTCCAATATAAAGCTACTTACTAGTTTCAAACTTCTCTTACGTAATTGTTTATTAGTGCAAAAGAAAACTTGAGTAATTAAATATGAAATTGAAGAAATGTTTTATATATTCCAACAGGTATGATTAGGTGTCTGTCTAACAGGTACCTTAATCAAAAATAAATTATTTCGACTGTTCCAATACAATAAAATATTAAAAAATAATCACACTTTCATTAATTGACTTTATGACTAACTTAATTTTAGTAAATAAGTATAGTTCCAGCAAAATTTTAGCTAAAAAAACGTGACGTCACAATTCACAATCTCGCACAAAATTCATAGAAAACTGTTAACATTTTGAAAAAAGTATTGAACTCGACTAGTTGTCAAATACCGTATTCTTATCAGATATTATAACCTAGACTTGTCTAGAAAACAGTGAGACACATTTTCTACTTTTATAAACATAACATAACATCACGCCTTTTTATCCCCGAAGGGGTAGGCAGAGGTGCACATTTTGGCACTTAATGCAATGTAACACCCACTTTTTACTATTTATGTTATGAGTCCCATGTAATAGGGGGTGAGCCTATTGCCATATAACGGGCACAATTCCAGACTCCGTGCTATTACTGAGATTTAAAAAAAACCAGTTATACTTTGCCCGACCCGAGAATCGAATCCGAGACCCCTTGCCCGGCAGTCGCACTTACAACAATTACTGCATTTCAACTAGTCAAACTGCTCATCAAAACGAAAGTGAATTCGGCATTGTGTGCAGAACCTCTCGCAACGCAAGAGTTGTTAATATTCATAACTTTGATGCGCCCACACATCGGCAGACGTTTTGTGACGTAATCAGTTAATTATGTCGCATTATTTATGTGATACACTTTATAGAATTCAATGAGTTATTGTTTCTTTTATTTTGTAATTAATTAGCATTGTTTTAATTATATCATATAGATCATTGTGTTTTTATAATAACTATCTTGAGATATATAGACATAAAGTAGGCTGCGCGACATCGCCGCGACCGCGCACGTTGCTCATATACATATAATCATATATCTGTTCTTCATCTGACTGAACACTTCACCTAGGGTTCTAGGCTAGAACCCACAAAATTAAAACAAAGTTTCTGTATATATGTAGATTACAAGTATGTGTTGCTCTCGTCCATGCGTCACTGCAGGGGTGCCAACTGAAAATCAGTGTTGGGTGCTCATTGTGCCCAGCTTTATGCTTTAGTTGGTGACCCGTTCGGATTGGACATGTGCGCCAACACCGCGCACTTGAATTATTGGCTTGTTTTAGTCTTATAATTTAACTTTTATCTTTTAATTTTTCTGTTTTTATACTTTTTTTATATTTATATGTCTTTTTTGGCGTGCATGTCTTATGCCGAATAAACTTATTTCATTTCATTTCATGAGGAAGAACCCCTCTGTGGTTCGAAACTAGTAGAGCTTTTCTCAGTATATTCACGTGAGTAACCTGCAATTTTTAGTTAATTCATAATCATTCTCTGAATACAAAAACGTAAGTATATTTCCGATATCACGCCTGGTCCTGTGCCTCTAAATATCGTCCTCATCCAATTAGGTATTTTCCTGGGTCAAAAATAAATTATTTTGATTTTTCAATCCAATAAAATATTCAAAAATAATTACAGTTTCATTCATATATTTGATGATATACTTAATTTTCGATTTATTCTAGCATTTTTTTCAGAAATAAGTGTGCTATTTGACTCGATAATATGTTGATATAATAAGTTAGTTTTTGATACGAAGTTCATAGAACAATATTGTTTTTGACTTTTCGATAAAAGTATTGAATTTGTTTAGTTGTAAATACCGTACAAACATAATTTATCCAGATCCTCTATTACTCAAAACAAATAAAATCTCTTTCTACATAGATAGACCTTATATAATACTTAGTTTCTAGGATTCAATGTCACCTACAACGTACGGGACATTATCTACCTAACACGAAATACAAGTCACGTCAAAAAATATAAAAAAACCGTCTCCACAACAAGCACCTACATTAAACAATATCCCAGAATATGGATGAAATAAAAAAAACAAATCTATTTATTTTATCTCGCAAAAAGAAAACACGGCATGTCATCCTATAATTTTCAGTCCCTAACATACCCTCACTTATTTCGCGAAACAAACTTGGACGGAGATAACCCAACCAATTTCTCTTGACCTCAACATATATAGAAACCAAATAATTTTACCAACAAATCGTTCATATTTACAAGGGTCATTTTACAGTGGTCACAAGATAGAAAGAATCGTACAATTCCACTACCATAGCTTGATATGAAAGGAGCTGAAATCGACAGAAATACACATTTGGGAACATTCTAGATTGATTCAATGTGAACTGGGGATGACCCTTATCTGTTTGTAAATAGTGACGATTATAGAATAACAATATTTTTTGTTTCTGTATTAAATTTTATGTATTTAAATGTAAGTCGTATCACAAAGATTACAAGAATCTTTGTGATGCGTTCTGGTATCGCTGCCAGAGTCATTTATAAACTATTGTTTTTAACTGACTTCAAAAAAGGAGGTTTTTTATACCTGTATGTATGTCTGTATGTTTGTCCGCAATTATCTCGGGATTGGTTGAATCGATTTTGATGCGGTTTTCAGAAAAGTGTTTGCTACTCTTAGGAGAAGGTTTTAGTATATTAATTAACCGACTGCAAAAAAGAAGGGTTGAACTCGGTTTTTTAAAACGAAATTTATAAAATTATTATTTAATATGTTGGACATAAATAAGCCTGATTATTTGAACGTAAATAAATATTCTACCAAAAAGTCCCAAGGTATGAAACAAACCATATTATAATTAGAATCTTAAACCTTAATTAGAAGATACAATAATTATATTTTATCACCATATCAAAAACATACCATTAGTTTAACTTCAATGAAGAAAATTAAATTAATACACGACCCGATTTCTGATATAATATAAATAAATTTTACATATAAACGTAACACATCCATATATAATTAGTTTATTTAATTACAATCGAAACCAAATAATAGTTAATGAAATGTAATTAATGCGTATTAAATTATTTATAGACAAATAAAGTATTCAGTTAGGTTAGTATACCGGTACATTTGACCTGACCCCTCGCTAAACAGGTTAATATTTTTAACTGAAGTTTATAATTAACCTAG